ATGTATATATATATATATATATATATATATATATATATGGTCTAAATATACGTTCAATACTTACCAACCGTCAGAAGGCATCAAATTTACATTTTAAAATCGGGCAAATTTGGAGACTCCTTCTCCACCTCAGACAGGTCTACTAAGTTTTCTGTTTACCAGACTGACTCCTCAAATGGGATCTTGAAGTTGTCAACTTGCAGGAGCCCACGATACGTACAAACAGTCATAAGGCTAGCTTTTACGGTGCCATTCTGCGTCTCCCATTCAAGGGGGACTACATCTGACGAGGAGAACGTAGCGAATTCTCTGGCCTACTGTACCTCACAGGCGGCCTAGACTTCGGTAGCGCTTTGATGCCTTTAGGGAAGGAGGTGGGAACAAAGTCGTGAATTTTGGGAGCAAACCCTAACCAACCGAGATGCAAGAGTCTCTGAGTATACTTCCAAGAAATGAGGTATGAGAATGGGGCATATGGAACCAATCTTCTGTCAGAGAACCGAATGCAGCCGCGTTCTTTACTACTTTGTCAAAGGGTGTCATAGGAAAAAATCAGTGTTCATTTATGTTTTTTAGGTAATCACTCTATTTCGTTTAAGGTGACGAAGGGCTGGTAGTTACATTTTCCCACAACGATATGGGCAGAGCTCAGATTTCCATTTAATTCCACATAGTCTGGCTTCTCAAAAGGAATTTTATCTAGAGTGTACCACAGTTTCGACTTTGCGTAGGTTTTATTAGCATAATACCACCACCACTACCCCTACTACTACTTCTACTACTATTATTACTTATATTATAACTATAAATATAACTATTATTTATTTATTAATGAATATAATATAATATAATAACTATGAGAATTATTTATAATTTTATTATTATTGTGTATCATCACTATATTAATAATAATGCCAATAAATAATCAATTTATATAATTTTATAATTCTATTTATATATATATATATAATTATATAAATTGATTATTTGTTGGCATTATTATTAATATGGTGATGATACACAATAATAATAAAATTATAAATAATTCTCATAGTTATTATATTATATTATATTCCTTAATTAATAAATAATAGTTATAGTTATAGTTATAATATAAGTAATAATAATAATAATAGTAGTAGTAGTAGTAGTAGGGGTAATGGTGGTGGTATTATGCTAATAAAACCTACGCAAAGTCGAAACTGTGGTACACTCTAGACAAAGGCGAGTCCGAAATTGCAATCCGGCTGGATAAGAATGCCTCTTAGGAAACAAGGCTATGCAAAATTCATTGAGACGTGAGGTCTGCTTATATAAAAGTATCAATTTTAAACTACCATTCCTTGATCACGTTAAAAGTAATTGGAAAAATTCTGCTATTATACAAAAGTGTGTGCTCTTTCTTCCAGCCTTCCATATTCACCACCTTCTTCTATCTCTCCTTTGAAGGCTACCGGGGACTTCGGTTTTCATAACTTTTTTAGGTAGGACAGTGAGACAAATTTAATTTAATTCTACTTCTTCATGCATCCCAGGAATCCGTAATCATCCTCAGATTGGAGGGAAGTTATGACCTTACCCCACAATCTTAACGGAACCCATATCAAGCGCCTCTCTTCTCACATCATTCTTTATCGTTTGGCAACTGGTCTTTGCCAATAAACTCGATACACTACAGATTCGTGTAATCAGCAACATTTTTTACCTGGTCGTTGTAAGAGACTTGCCTTTTGTCAAGGTGAACAATTTTTACTTGTTTATTTTTATTGAAATGAAAGTGACTCTGTTCGGACACAGTTATTTCTGGATACAAAAGTCCCCGAAACGATGTCAATAGTCAGGAATAGGTTAAAAGGGTAACTTTTTTAGTGCTAAATCTGCATATCCATGGTCTGAATCCCACCTCGGCGTAGCTATAAATCCAAATATACCTAAGGCCTACATTAGGCCGCAGTCAGATAATAAATTTATTATTAATTAATTAATGATCATAATGGTTTACTAGCAAATTTATGAGAGAACATTGGTACAAAATTACCCATAAAGGGATGGCAATCGTAAGACAGTCAGTGAAGGTCGAGTAGCCACAGGTCGGGTGCCGCTGGGGCTGCGAATTAGACGATGAGGCGAAGTCGACACTGTATCGCAGTCTACATACAAGTACAGCTTTTTGGAGCATACGGTAAAAAGTAAATTTATCTTAAAACTCGGACATGCTGTCGCTCGATCTCGTTTGCCTCAAGGATAGTTAACCTCGGAGTGGTGCAATAATAAATATACTCTTATTAGCAACGTAATTCGGATAGTTACTCCGAACTGATGACGTGGGCCGATGAAAAACCGGGTCCTAAAGTATGCGGTCAGGGCCAATATACCAATACCTTCCACAAAGGAAAGGTCATTTGACCTTATATAGATTAGCCGAGTGTATGAAGATCAAGATGCTGTGGCTGGGTCTTCCTTTACTCCATAGAAACGCTTTGCCTTCATTTTCACAGCCTAGCTAGGTTTCCAGGGCGATCCAGATGAAAGCATCTTGTCTGCCAGTGTAGGCATGCTAATTTCCATGGTCAGACGCCGATGATGATCATGACTACCATGACCGACAGCTTTAAAGATGGTACGTGCATCTAGGTCATCCGGGCAACACGACCGGGCTGTGAAAGCGAAGTAAAACCACTTCTATGATATTGATTGCTTGTCGGCTGACATTATCGAAGTCTTGGAGACGTGTGTTCTTAGAATCGAGTCTGGGAGAGCCACTTCTGAAACGCTTGGACTACAACTGGCGAAGCATTCTGGCCCAGAGCACCTTGAGCACCTACAGGGGCCTGCATCGCGATATCACATGCCTTGCCTGGCAGGGTTGGGGTAAAACAACTTTAGAGGGACTTCCCACCATCCTGGCGAGGCCATGTTCCCGGACTTGTACATGTGTAGGGCAGCCCGGCAATGTTACCAGGCCCTCAGTACCGGTCTACATTTGGCCAGGCTCTTGGCTACTTCCACATTCAGGCAAAAAGATGTCTTCACAGTTTCAAAGAACGCACACGCACACATTCACATACACTCATATTGACACAAACACAGACAAATGCTTGTACATGTAGGCGGTCACATACATGGACACACCTGTAGATGGAGGAAGCTACAAGTTGAGAGGTAAACATGCAGACAGAAGGAGGGAAATATTGTCATAGAGGCCAATCTACAGGCAGAACGAAGAGCCGATAGGTGAACTGAAAGCTTTTCAGGAAGACGAAAATTCATTCACTACTGGAGTGTGTTCGGTGTGCCTGTTAAGCCGTCGCCTAAGCAAAACTTATAGTTGATAAGTTCATAATACTTTTTCACAAATGGTCAATCGATTGACTCTGAAGTATGCCCCATGCGTTTCCACGACAATTGCTGGCCTATAGTCAAGCATATGTTCTACAGATTGTAAAGATAAACTCGTTCAATCAACTAGTGCCCACCCCTTTGAATTGGGTCAGGCCTGGTACATCCAAGGAAGGAGGCCGACAGTTTGACGGTACGGTCAAAGTGCCAGTAAAGTTGCGGACCAGACCGGTTGGCCGGAGTGACCAAACCAGTCATTGTTGAACTCCAGGATGAGGCAGAAGGGGACTGGTCGTAGAGGCCTTCCAGAAGAGCCCAATCGAGACGAGATGGTCCAAGTGATTTATGACAAAACGCACCGATTGGTCTCATTTTTTTTCGCTTCCCAGACCGACAAATGGGGCCAGCAATTTGTATAGAATCCCAGTGCCAATAATACCTACCTTTCCGGAGAAAAGCCGATGTCTTTTTTTGGTAACTCTATTTCGTGTGAAGGTGCCTGATGAATAAATTGGCAAGTTGTTATAATCGCATTTAAAAATCTGGGGTCGTAAGTTTAGGTTGCATTAGCTAAAAAGGCTATATGAGATGAGTCTCGAAAACCAACTCAATAAAGATAATAAAGTTATCTCATGATGATAAATTTCATTCAGCGTACCTTAAATTAATATTTATTTTTCTACAGGAACGATTTTGTAAGAGATAGGCAGGTAGAAGAGTGTTCTCAGGACGACTTTCTAAGAAGCCTCTGAGGAGGACTTGTTGATAAGCTTCGATTTGGTAACAAGCTACACCAACATTTCAGTTCAGGAAGCTACTCTAACTCCAGCACTCATTCTGAACAAGCTCCCGATGACCTGATAGGAGGTAAATTCAACTATTCCCTCAGACTTACGACTACTCGTACTATCCACGAGCAGTACCTACTTCACTTTGTCCGTAAGTTATATTAACAGCACAAGCACTCGTAATTGGATCTAGTTTATTGAGGCTACTTTCATTTCGAGTGAAAGTGTGTGAGGCTGCTATAAGACGATGGCGAATTACGCTTGGCCACATGTCGGCTGGCTCTACGGAGACAATCTTGTCGACAGCATCCCCAAAGAACTCCTCTTCGGGCCCGACTAAGACATCATTTGACAGATATTTTAAGGGCTAACGAGCCAAGAAAACGCATCGGCTTATCCTTAAATGCAGTATAAATACCGTAAACCAATGCATTTTGATGAGGCATATAGTGATTTGGTTAATTCAAGTCATGTAAATCTATAACCATGCGTGTGTGCATGTGCTCGTCTGCTTTCATTTGCATGTATATGTACAAAGGAAGGCTAGGGCACCTTTCAAATATTATGGTATTCCAATGGTTTACAAAGATGAAGTTGATTTGCTAAAGAAAGAGTTATCTATAAGATTTCATGATTATAATCCAAAAGATTAAGGAAAATGACCCAATATTGGATATATTCAGTGAAGAATTTATATGATTTTATTAAATTCGTAGAAAAGCAAGGTGTTACTAAGAAGAACTTTATGCAAATTTTGATTAATTTACGCCAACGCTCCAATTCATGAAGCTATTCAAATCACTAGCACTCAGTCTATAAAAAAGACCGAATATTATTTAGGTAAATAATTTAAGCAAATGTTCGTTCTTAAGACTAGTGGATCTGCTCGTTAGTAGCGCATACTTCACCTTTAACGATGTGTTCACTAAAAGAGGATCATTTTTGGCTCCCATTTCAGGAAATACTCACGTCATGGAAGAGATACAAATGACACTATATATGCTAGTTAGATATGTGGATAATAATTCTGCAAGTTTGCAGCATGGCAAGGATATACTAGATAATGTATAATTCTTAATTAAACAGAGTAGTAATATTAAGATTAAACTGGGAATAGAGAAGGATGATTATTTACCATTTTTAGATGTTTCATTTGTCCGACCAGGGGAGGAGTTGGGCAAGAATGTATATAGGAGACCGGAAAATGCTAGCTTTATCATTACCTTCTCCAACCACAGTTACAAAACGAAGGTTGGTAAGTTATAACCAATAATTATTCCAAGTATAAGATAATGCGGAAGATACCGTTACAATAATGAAGTAGTTATAAGTAATGCAATATTACTTAAGGATAATTATACCCTAGAGTTGACTAAAAATAACATCAGATTAATAAAAACCACTTCATTAGGAATATGAAATAGCTAAGAAGAGATAAAAAACAAAGAACCTCTTTTCATGTCTTTACTTTACCCTTGTGCTTTTTTTCTAAAATAATAGGCGAACTAGTAAGGAAGCGATGAATAAAAATGGTTTTCAGGGAAACTATGACACTTTCTTTAGTTGTGCCCACTTTTATAGAGAAAGTTGGCCCATTATTTTGGTATGGTTACTATAAAATTATGTGTTCATGTGGTCGCTTTTATGTTAAAATGAAATGCCGTCCCGTTGGACAAAGGGTGGTTGAATAAAAATGTGCCTGCAGAAGCTGTTGGGTTCAAAAATCGGAGGCAAAATGGCAAATGGCAGTAACTGGGTCTGAGATTAAAGGGCTAAGGACAAAACAAGGGCAGTCATCGAAACCAACAAATTAGCCAATTCACATAATGTCAGGGGCACCAGCAAAAAGTAAAGTAAGAAGAACTCAAAGCTTAATTGATATATCTAAGGCTAGAGTGTGTTGTGCCGCTTTTGTTGGTCATGATTCTAATTACGATCGAATTTTATATGCTCTATGACAACTCTATCTCTCACACAGACAAAAGACTTATCAACTTAATTAGATGAGTGTCCTAAATTAGGCAATCGGAGTGACAACTAAAAAGGGAAACGTTAGGCCTCGATGATCAGGGACAGATTTTACCCTTTTTTCCAATTACTTTGAGCTATTACTGATGATTTTACTTAGCTAATTATACGTGAATGCACATAAGCTCACACATATATATGCTTCTAAATTAGAATTTTCCTTTAACTAACCAAATTACTTAATATCTCATCAAAATGCATAGGTTTGGAGCATTAAGACAGTTGGAGAGTTTTCTTGAATTATTAACTCGAATATGGTTGATTATCTTCAAAATTTTAACACGTTTTCATTGAAAACGAAAAAAGGGAACATCATCAGTAAGAGGAAACTACAGTCGTTTTTTGATGCCAACGAAATTTGAATCGCTTCACCACTCACTTTTACACGAATTGGAAATTAAGTGATTTTACGTTTTCAATGGAGTTAGAAATTAGCACTTCCATATTATTTCTAGGTGTCCTCTTTAATTAGAGATCAGACTAAGTTGGCTTTAAGCCTAACTCTAATCATAGTTACATGACAAAGTGTGAGTTTGAAAATAAATTATTTTTAGAAGTTTGAGATTGGCGAGTCGTAATCATTTGTATTGCGAGCTATATAGGCTTAAAAAAATAGCAATAGATATACTATCCTTTTGGATAAATTGGGAATACCATCAAGGTAAGAAAAAAATATAAAGGAAGAATGATTTTTTGTGAGACTGAAACCTTTTCTTATCTTCTGACTCGGCTTTCTTGCTCTCGTTTTAGAAGTAAAACTGGCAAAAGCTTTGGGAATCAAGATGGTTCTCAAGGAAATCTTGACACTTTTCTAAGTTATGCTCACTTTTAGAATGAAGTATAACCTTTTATCCGAATCAGAATATAACAAAGTAATGCTTTGAGGTGGTCAATCTGGAGTTGGAGACATAACTCGTCCTGTTTGCTAAAGGATCGTGGAACACAAAAATGCTTGTTGGGTGCAGAGGTCAGAAGTAGCAAAGTACATAGTTAAAACTGGACATGAAGTAAAGTGGTCCAAGACGCTTAGGTCTACGAATTATGGTATGCCCGTAGCGAAACGCGAAGTTACAGAAACTATTATATCAGCAGAATAAGGAGCACTTGAGATGTTGGAAATAAGGGCAAGAATTTAAACAAAAGAAACAATTTATTTTTCGTATGTGAGTAGAGTGTCGAGACAACCAGTAAATTTATGCTTGATTGGTAGAATTATGAATGGAAAGAGGACCCCAAAATATGCCAATAATGTACCTAATAGCCTTGGTTCTGGCTCTATTTAAACTCCCGCTCACTAAACTTTTGCTCAGAAATCTAATAAACTGGGCCGAACCTTTGCCCGGCGTTACGTAGCTGTGGCAATGATTCATCTTGGATGAAAAAG